ACACCATACTAGACCGTGCCAACCCATGTCTTGCCATGCCCAAGCCACACTACACCATACCAGGTCATACCAAGCCATGCCACACCATACTAGACAGTGCCAACCCATGTCTTGCCATGCCCAAACCATACTACACCACACCAGGTCATACCAAGCCATGCCACACCATACTAGACCGTGCCAACCCATGTCTTGCCATGCCCAAGCCACACTACACCACACCAGGTCATACCAAGCCAYGCCACACCATACTAGACCGTGCCAACCCATGTCTTGCCATGCCCAAGCCACACTACAGAAACCACTCCCCCTTGCTCTCGGGTGCAGGCTTCTCTTGCCCCCCAGGCTGTAGCACAGGGGCAGTCAGGGGTCTGCTGAGGGTGACCCCACGGGGAGACACTGAGCTGGGTGGCCCAGCAGTGAGTGTGGGGCCAGCCTGGCCCTGGAATGGACACTGCCGACCTAGGCTCTGTTCATCTGGGGGACAGTTTACTGGCACACTACTGGGTAGGCCTCCACTTCCCAGTGGACCTCTATCACACAAGGGGAAAGTGCCCAGCAAATCACAAAGTCTTGTATTCTCTTTAGCAGGTGGTCTGGAGTCAGAGAGGGCAAAGAGCAAAAGAAAAACAGCCCAGCACAATCCAGATCACTGTTTCCACTGGGCAGGGAAGACACAGGCAAGAGGGAGGAGGCCTGGGGCTACAGCAATCACTTAGAACCCGAAGGAGCACTTTGAAAAGCATCTGGTCAGTTCACCTCTCATGAGAAGACACATTATCTCCATGGGAACATGTTTTATTTTGAAGTTTGTTTAAGAAACCAGACACTGTGCAAACGTTCTCTCCACATTGTCACGACCTCATTCAATTACCTCCACAGAAGAACACTCTCAGCCTCCCCTCAACAGTCCACCTGCACCGTGAGGGTACAGCCCGCCACTCCTGCTTCCTCTCTCGCCTCCAGAACACTTGCCACAGTTTCATCACAGCAAACTGGACAGAGCAACGCTGAGGTCGTTAGTAAGGAGAGGAACCAGAAAATCCTCAAAACACAAATGGCCACACACTTGGCCCAGTAGCTGGGTATGGACACCAGGTGGAATATCTCAAAGCTTTTCTTTTCTGTTCCAAAAAGGTCAGAAAAGTCTGGCAAGGTTTGCCAGGCCCAAGACATATGTTCAGACAGAAATTCAAAATGAAGTAGTGAAGCACAGGGTCTTTTCTTTCACAGGATTAGCTAAAAGGTAAACACACCCTAAGATGTCCATAGGACTCCAGACTGCTTCAAGAAGTGGGTCAAATTGACAGGGCCACCTTAAAGACACACCTGTGCGGCCCAAACGCATCCCAGGAGGAGAGACAACCAGACCCATCCCACGTCAGGTGGGAGGGAGAGCAGGAGGAGAGACAACCAGACCCATCCCACGTCAGGCGGGAGGGAGAGCAGGAGGAGAGACAACCAGACC